ATTTAAGTCCCAGCTGGGCTTTAGCCTCATGTATCTGAAATCAATGTAGTTGATGGCTAACTTACATATATACTGTATCTCCAGAGTTTCAGGAAAAATATTTGTTAAAAATTCTCTAAATACAGTTAAGACAATAACCTTTTGTTTTAAAGTATATTGTATTTTTAAAGCTAAATATTCAGAAATTTTCACTTATCACAGTACTGTGATTTTATTGTGTGCGAGTGTGTGTGTGTGTGTGTGTGTGTGTGGTTTTGAGTTTTTTTGAAACTGAGGATTAAACCTAGGAGCTTTGCTTTATTTTTATCTTTTGAAACATGGTCTCACCAGGTTCCTAAATTGTCTGGGCTACGCACAAACTTGGGATCCTCCTGTCCCAAACTCCCAGTAGGCTAGGATTACAACTGTGTACCACCATGCCTGGCTCTACAGTTCTTTTTATTTAGCAAATATTTTTACAGAACCACTATATGCTAATAAATCAAACAAGCCCAGTTAAGAAGTACAACAAAATTTTCACAACTGATAACTGGAAAAATTTGGACCTGTGCTCATGTCTTCTAGGCACTAAATTTTAGAATGTTCATTCTTTTATATCACATTTCACACACACACACCCTGGGGAGGGAGGGGTAAATGGGAAATTAGGGCACCAAAATGAAAAATATCAGATTATGTTCCGAGGGCAACTCTGGGACCCATATGCAGAACTTCTCCTGAGCTCCCATGAAATGTGGAGGGCATAAAAGAAGACCAGCCATCACAGAAAGCTCCTAGCATGCGTAAGTTTCCATGATACCCAGTGCTATGTTTCTCACACCGTGTGTACTTTTATTTTTGCTTTTACTCTTTTTTTCTCTTCATTAGGCCAAAGTTCGCAATGCAGAGCTGGTTTCTTCCATACTCACCCCACAATTTTTGCACGAACTTTTGGCACTGTTTTTTAGCTTGTCTTATACAATTATTTGAGGCAAGAAGAAGGACCTGAATCCTTCTGATTGATGGGCCATTTCTAGAGAAAGTAGGGCTGAACATCTCCATTACAATGGCTTTCACATAACTGGAATTTTATGCTAAATAATGAATCAATTTCTCACATTGCTGAGGCAACTCCAGAGAGGTATATCAGATGAAAATATCTGAATTATTCACTCTGGTACTGTTTATATTGAAGAAAATAGGTTTACAATACTTCATAGTCATGAAATCTATTTCCTTCTTTTCCCTTGCAACGCAACCCAGTCTTGATATGCCAGAAACCAAAGAATTACAATATCCAGAAGCTCATTTTTTTTTAGATTTAAAAGTTACTAATGTAACTTTTGACCAAAACTAACTGATAAATCACATCACTAATGATAACTGGATTCAATTGCCTAAAATACTGAAGAAAGTTATCTTTTGTAGACTTAGTTATAGGTCATGCTTTTATTAAAGATATGGAAATTAGGTAAAAACAAGTTAATTGTGCTAGTACTAGAATTATCAGCGTTTTCTACCACTGCATAGAGAAATAAAAGACAACCATGATTATTTTTATTGTGTGTTGAATCTTAATTTTATAGAATTTATGAAACATGATTATTAGTTACATGAAAATTTCTGAAAGGATATTTGAAACATAACATCTAAATCAGAAGGTATCTTTGAGTCTATACTCCCAGAACTTTGGGAGGCTGAGGCCATAGGAGCACAAGTTCAAGCTCCACCTGGACAACTTAGAAGTTTAGCAACTGTCTCAAAATAAAAAAATTTTAAAAGGGCTGAGGATGTGTGAAGGTATGGTTTAATCTCCAGTACCACAACAAAACCTCTGAAAATAATCAATATTAAATTAAATATATACATATAAGACAGGTAAATATAAGCATCTCAAAATAGTTTGGGACGTGTAGAGAAAGATATTGAAACTTCTGAGTGTGAGGCAGCAGTATTTCCCCGATTTTCTATGATGAAATTGTACCTGGAATAATGCTTATTTGAATATAAGCAAATACTAAGGTTTAGAGTCATACATGAATTATTGCCAGTGAGGATCCTTCTGCCTATATATTCCATTATAGAATATAATAATATAAAGAGTCAATAAAGCTTTAGATTTCAATTTGAATTTATTTCCACAAAATCACATTAAAGAGGATATTTAGGGCCGGGGATTTAGCTCAGTGGTTCCGGTGCTTGCCTTACAAGTGCAAAGACCCAAGCTCAATCCCCAATACCGGAAAAAAAAAAAAAAAAAAAAAAAAAGAAA